AGTTCACTAGTGTAATCTTTCCCCCAGTCAGATGGAGGGAAGGACAATCCCAGGCAGCAAAGCAGAGTCCTGCCTGTGGGTCTACATTAAGCTTGAGTTAAATAAGGAAAAATATGGAGGGGCTTCTCTATTCTGAGACAGACATAAGGACTAAGATGTCAATTGATTTTTCCTTCCCTGAAAGGGCAAGTGAAATTATAAAAGAGGGAGGGGAGGGCTGGGGGTTAAGGTTCTTCTGGAACATGGACCAAGGATCCTGGGGCATAGGTCCCAAGAATAGCAGGGTACGGAGGGAGGGCCAGCTCCATTGGAGATGTCTGCATTATTTCTAACACAATTTTCTCAGCTGTAACTTATGGGCTGGGAAGAGCAGTGCAGTGCGAGGTACTGAGTTCAAGGAAGGACTGAGAAGAAACTATCTGCCGTGGACACACAGCTCCAACTCTAGCAGGATGCCACTGGGTAGGGCCTATTCTGCTCCTGCTGAGGAGGATCAGGATCAGTCAGCTCTATTTCTCCCGGCACTTTTCTCTGAGTCACAGAACTAACATAGTAAGTGAAACAAGTAGTTTTGAATGAAGGCCATGACAGTGATTGTGTTTGGGACTTGTGCATGGGACTGTGGCAAAGCTTTCCTGATAGTTAATTTTCATAAGCTTCCAAAAGGATACATTTCTGGTGGGCAAGGAAGTCAATTTGGAATTGGACACATTTGTAGGACATATTAAAATAATCTTCAGGAATTAAACCTCCATTCTTTTGGATTTCACCAATGCTTAGGAGGCAGGACAAACCCAAGATGTGTCAGGTGTGGCATGGTAATGTTCACTCACAGGCAGGGACCTGAGGGCCTCTACAGCCTCTAGCACCCAAAAAAGGCCCTATATGGCTGCTGATGTCTCAAGTTCATCATTAGAAATTGTTGCTTTCAGTGTTATTTGTTCTTCAGTAAAATTAAAATTCTTATTGGAAAGGAGATCCACAAAGTCTTAGGAGTATGTGTATCTCACCAGGTACACAGTTGTTAAATTCTGTCTTAGAGGAAGCTAGTAGTTATCAGCATCCTCAACTTCCCAAAGGAAAGAGAACCCAACTCCCCAGCCATGGAATGACAGTAAGGTTTGGGTTCCTCCTGCCAAAATCGATTCTATGCCCCAAAACAGAACTGGGTCCTACTTGTGATGGAAATTTCCATGGAACGGAATATCCTTTTCTTGAAATTAGTTGTGGCTAATGATGGTATGAGAAAACAGGTGGGCCTAGGCTATGCATGATTAAGTATGTGGGTAACTGTAATGATTTCTTATAATTGTTAGTTCAGGAGAGTTTCTTTTTAATCTTTCTAAAAGATCCAAGAGGGTAGAAACATCTTTTGGTTTTCTGATTATCTTTCACAGGTATACACTGTATGTATAAAATTGCTGTGCATCCAGAATGAATTAAAGCATAAATGAACAAAGGAGTAAATGAAGATGAAGTCTGCCTGACATCTCTAACACAACCAACAGGGCTTCGCTCCTGGTTTAGGGAAAGCATTTAAGCTGGGAGTATTGGTAAAAAAGAAAATACTTGCACTCACATGGGTTTCTATTTTCTGTTGTGTGTAGATCAGAGAACCATACAATTTTTCAGCTGAAAGCGACATCTACTCCAACTCTCCCCTTTACAGGTGAGGGGGCAGAAGTCCAGGAAGAGGGGGGTCATTTATCCAGGCCTCTTCCATGCCAGGTTGATCTTTGGGCTGATTTTTCTCACTGACACCTGTGTACAGATCATGCCCTGACATGCTGTACCTTGGCGCTCAGTAAGATGTCAGGATGGCTCTGTGGAAGATAGAATGTGGCCATGTAGAAACTGACATCGCTGCAAAGCAACTTACAATGCTTCAGTGTCAAAACTATAGAGACCTAAGTTCAAGGATCAGCCTTACTATCTGACCTGTCACTTTGATTTCTACAGCTGCAGACCCAGGACACTGCGCAATGAATCAAACCAAACTGGAGCACAGGTATCTGGTTTGGTCTGATTCCAGTGAGCAAATGCTGCACTTGCACCTGGCTCCTAGAATGCCATCTCAACATCAAACACAGATCTTTCTCTTAATGCATTTGATAAATTTAATAAACCTCACATTTCATATATAAAGTCCTTTGGGAAAGTAAACAGCAGCTGCAGCTTATCTCCCACCACAGACACTGAAAAAGCCAATTCTTCATGTTGAAAGTGTATGCAGCATGATTTTTCATGTGTTCATGGACAGGGTTCATACGAGGGAGGCTACTGCACAAATGGAACATGAAAGTGTCGGGCAGCTCTTCAGTCTGCTGTCTAGCAGGTGATTTGCTGTTGGAAATCATATTCTACCACTGAAATAAGCATGGACTGGAATTTCTGACCTGGAAGAAACCTAAGGGAACATCATTGTTCACTTATTTTAGAGATGTGCAGGAATGAGAAATGATGTGACTTGTTCAAGGTCAAATAGCTGAAGTCACCAGCCTGGGATAAGAGCCAGGCCCTGGGGCTCTCCATGCCCTCTCTGGTCTAGTCCACGAGGAATCTATACGGCCAGCTCTCTTTCTACTGCTGGAAACTCACACGAGCTGGGCTCCATCCACAGCTTGTTCTCAAGCATGGTCAGAAACAGGAAGAAATAGCCAAGAAGGAGAAGGCTGGACAGACAGGAGGACAGGAAAGGAAAAGGTGGCCAATAGGATAGCTAAGGAAGCTGATCAGATCGTAGCAAGAATTAGTAGTCTCTGTGAGCTCTTATTTTTAAACCATGAAATGTCATGAGCTTGCTCTCTTAGCTTTCTGGTCCCTACAATGTTGCACGTGCTCTGTAGAGATGGGGTGGGGAGGGGCCAAAAAACCATGTCAAGAAAATCTACTTGGATTTGGTGGTGGGTAATTCATTTTTTTCTCTCACTGCACAGAAACTATAGTTGGTATACACAGAAACTATCTCTCCAATACGAAAACAGAATAGTGCGTACTGGAGTTCACTTTTCGACATCAGACTGTGACGGAGCTTGGTGCTGTATAGCTGGATCTACGAAATCTCTGTATGAACCAACCACTGCTCCATTTTATAAAGATTCATCTGAGAGATAAGTAAGGGTCTCAAAATGCCCGATTCTGTCCCTAGACTTTATACCAACATGGTCACCCAGGAAACAGCTCCCTAGATGATTTAATTTAAAATGATCTCTAAATATATAGATTTATGTTAAATGCATAAGAGAGGGTCTCCAGAGAAGATTAGTCGGCACATGTTTCTGGGGAGGGGACTTCACTTTGTAGTCTGGTCTGGGGCATTTTATATCGGTTACACTTGCAAGTACTTTTGAAAACTCAAAAAGTGAAAGATGATGTACTTTAAAAGAATTATTTTTGGCTAATATATTGATCACTTACAGAGGCAGGCCAGACTAGGTGTGTGAGGACATGCTAAAACCTAGCTGTCTCATCTGACCCGAGGATGTTTATCTACTTGTACAGCGAAGTGGTTGGATTATGTCGCTTCTTTCATTCTATAATCCTCTGAGTAAAAGGGAGGGAAGCCAATCTAACTGAAATGCTGTACTGTCATGGTTTAAGAAATATCACTTTCTACCCCTGAGGTGAATGGAAAGTGTCTCCCCGTTACCCCTGCCGTTTTGTTCAAGACTGCAGAAGCCTCCAGTGCAAATTAGAAGACTGGCAGGGAACCTTAAGAATGCAGGGTTGTGCTCATTTTCCAGTCACCTCCCAGAGGCCCAAGCCTCCCAGTGTACCAGGTTCAGCATCTCTAGAGCTAGAATGGTTAAATGTCCTCTTATCACTATCAAAGTTGCTGAAATCACCTCCACACTTTGTCTCACTTTTTAGCTATGTTTAAAAAAATTTATATTAAACCTCCCTGAATGAACAGAACAGCAGGGGTAACTTGTACCGCCTCTTTTTTTCAAGTAGGCTGAAATGAAAGGCTATCGTTTGAGGCCACCTGGTAATAAGGTAACAATTGAAGGACCACATAAAGCAATTAGCTGTATTTTAAGAATGCAGTGAATAATAATTATACAGTGAAAGATGTTTGAAATTCCCATTTTAGGGAAATAATTCTAATTTGGAAGACCCAGATATGAGAACTGTTTCCTCTTTTCCCTGGACTTACTCAGTTTCTGCTCCTGCCAGAGTCCTGCCCGGCAGAGGGAGGCCCAGGTGTGCGGCCCTGCTCCACCTTCCAGAGGAGACAGCTTTCTTCTGGGAGTCCAGGGAGGGGCTGCGGGAGAAGCCTGACCAGGGAGTCTCCAGCAGGAGCCAAGTTCTGATTCCTACAAGAGTTGAGGGAGCTGAGCGATAGCAGGCAAGGAGGACAATCCAGCACCTTGGAAAACTGTACAGCGAAATGAGGCTGGTGCTGTTTCGGACCCAAGACTGAGGTTAAGTCAGAGAGACGAGGGCTCTGCTTTCTCTGCCCTCAGCCTCTCTTGCACCCATTTCCCCAGCCAGGGGTGACTCTCTCAAGGGTCTCCCAGTGGCCTTGGTATCTGTTGCTGGAGCCATTTCTTAAATCGGAGGCTCCAGCAAAGACAGGAGGATACTGTGTGGAACACAGGACAGCAGGATGTGAGTTAGTGAATGGCGATCACTGCTACTGAGACCAAGGAACCCCAGTGCATGCTCTTAAAACTGCCACTCTCAACTGGATCTCCTCTAGGACTCTGAGTTCCCTGAGTACTGCTTATCTTCCCTAGAGATCAGCAAAGCATTTGATAGGACAGAAATGAATTTTATCTTGTTCCCTTTCGTATGATAATTCAAATTAAAGTGGAAGTGTCTTTCCCCCATATTTATTTATTTATTTATTTATTTTTTGTTCAGCTTTAATTGAGTTTCTTGGTACATTTTAGGGATACAGTACAGTTACATTCATTGTTGGGATCTTGTACCTCTACATGACAAGTCTTGATTCTCATTTTTTCCCCTTACCTCTGCCCTCCCTTCACCCCCTCCTCCCCTCCCCATCTCCCCCATATTTATAAGGGAGACCTGATTGGGGCTGGGATTTAGCTCTGTGGAGCCATGCTGGCCTGGCAAGTACAAGGTCCTGAGTTCAATCCCTGGTACTGGAAAAAACAAAACAACAAAAAATAGGTCTGATCAAATGCTCTCATAGTTTTCTACATGTGTTTCTTAATATTTTCATATTACAGCTTTTATATATTTGCTCTTTGTGGTACTGGGGCGTGAACTCAGGGCCTTGTGCATGAAAGCACTCTACCCACTGAGCAATGCACAAAGCCACACATCACCGCTTTTGCGCTTGCCCAGTAGTGTGGTGTGATCGTAGCAAGACCTATAGGTACTGCTTCAGGGATAAATGTGAAATTAATGTGACTTTTAACATTAATAGAAAGCAAATTTTCTATGCATTTTTATTTTATCTTGAATTTAAAATGAAGCAAGGTACTCAGGAAGACTGCAAGATGAATCTTTGGACTGTAGCAAAAATAAGAGTAAAAAAAATTAATTAAAAAATAAGTAGATGGGGATTAAATCTCTTCAACTTAAAATCCCTTAGCTTGGATCCCTCATTAGGAGGACTTCATAAAAACAGGCTATAAACATTCTCAATAATTAAATATGAATATATGAACCATGATAAAACCTGGCCCTTTGGCCATACATGTTTAAATATATAAAATTAAATGCATACTCGAGTCCCTCTTGTTTTATTAGCTCCATCTTCCACTGAAATGCATTTGTGTAATTATCTTGTTCCTATACTTCCACCATGATCATATTAAAAAATGCTTCTTCCCATAAAGTGTGAAATATGAATTGATAAGCAACAGGGAACTAACACTATATAACACGTCCTTACCAATTAATAATGCTGTTGGCTGGGTTTATGAGAACTGAATTATTCATCAGAATCTTTTCACATAATGCCACTGAAAGCTAAGACTTATGAGACGTTAGGGCCCCGATAGGATAATGATTTACTTAGAAAATTTACTTGTAAACCAAACAACCATCTCAGTTTGCTCCCTGAACACTGCATACTCAGTATTGGCAGTTTGCTCATAACCCCATCATTTCTGGACACAGGAGAATGTTCACAAACACTCCAAATGGTCTTCAGTAAGCTGTAACTCTGTAAGGTAAGGGATATAAACTAGGAGTCAGAAAGTACAGATCTTAGTTCTACTTTTGCCTCTGTAGTGGGCCCTCCATGTCCACAGGTTCTACATCCATTGGTTCAATCCACTGATCAGAAATACTTGGGAAGAAATACATCCACATGGAAGATGTACAGATTTTTCTTATTATCTCTTAAACAAATAACATAGCAGGTATGCTGTAACCAAAGGACTCCACTAGGTATAAGCTATCTAGAGATGATTTAAAGCATGAGAATCTAACTTGACTACACTAATTGAAAATGAATTGCCTGTCTAAATAACAATAAACACATGTCTTGTAGGACATGGTAGCACACACCCGTAATACCAGCACTCCGGGAGGCTGAGGCAAGGGAACAAAAGTTCAAGCCCAGCCTGGGCAGCTCAGTGACTTAGTGAGAACCTATTTCAAAACAATAATCAAATCAGGCTGAAGATGTAGATCAGAGTGAAAGCCCTGGGTTTAACCCCCAATACTGCAAAGAACCACCAAACGCCTCAAAAAGCCATAAAAAAACAATAACACTTTTCTTCACAGGCATATGTGCATGTAGGTAGGCTGAACTACTACTACCAGTTGTCACCGAATTCTACTCACCAGGTCACACAAGTGCATGTAACATCTGACACACACTGGTTTCCATTCGGCTGTGTGATGAATGCAGGAAGTAAAGTGAGCACTGGATTGCACCCTCCCTACATGGCCTGGCCTGGCACATCAGCACCCATCACATCACTAAACATCACATAATAATGTTCCCAGTTTATGATTTTGGGGGGCCGAGTACCTAGCTGCTCAGGGTTGCACGAGGCCCAAGGGCTGAGTATTGGGTAACCCTGGAAGGTATATTAGGGGATGACATCAGTGATGAGTACTAACCCATTTTATAGCAAGGACTTGAGCACCCAAGGACTTTGGTATTTGCTTGGAACCAATCCAAGGACACCAAGGGAAGGCAACAACTAGAACTTCGGCTACTAGGTACTTTACCTCTCTAAGGACAGGTTCTGTGGAATTCGAAAATGAGGGCTTAGATTGGAAGAGGGTTAAGATTTCTTCCAGTTACAAAAGGTCATTTGGATTCTGTTTAGAAAGTACAAAGATAACAGCCTGTCTATTTTGATGCAGGCTAGAAATAAATACACAAAGCGAACATGACTTTTGATATTCATATAAATAAAATATAGCCCCACCCCACAACCTTCCTATCAGTTTTGGCAGATAAAATTTTGAGCCCTTAAACCATTTTCAGTCTGTGATTAGAACATATGTTCCAGAGGGGAAGGCCAACACACAGGAGACAGGTGCTTCCTCTCTGCTCACGTCAGCTGAACAAGAGTTGCTGCCAGGCACAACACAAGAATTGCTAATCACTCCCACTTCAGATGTCTTTAAACTAAATTGATCATTTAGGGAATATTTTTTACATGTTATTCTATTTTGTGTCAAAAGTAGAATTAATTAAAATTTCCTACACCAGAAGTTTTTGTAGTAGGATTTTATACAGCAACGTCCTCAAACACAACAGGCTAAGGCCAAACACTCCACACTTCTCTCCTGTCTCCTCTCTAAACCGGAAAAGGTGGTGGTTATTTAGCATCCAGCTCATAGCCTGCTGATATCCTCTGTGGCTCGCTTTCAATCATTTTCAAGAATTCTGTCTTCTTTTTATTTCCTTTTACTTATGTAGGGAGAATGAGTGAATGGTACTGAGCCTCGCTTTCACAGACCTCTTCTCTTCAGCAAGTTTTTAAGTTCCATTTTTGCCGCCAAATGAGCAAGGTGGTTAGAAGGGGAGACGGTTCAAAGGTGACTGAAGCTGGCTGTTACATTTGTGGGTTTTCATACATTCCAAGTTTCACAGTTGGAAAGAAAGGACTTAGAAAATGCCAAGGAGTCCTGGAGCCTTTTAGGTCTGAGGCGATTTAACTGCATAGCCATGAGCTTGCTAAAGAACCAGGGAGGTGTTGGGAGAGGTCAGGCCATGAGCATTTTCCCACTTGGGCCAGGGAACCAGGACAAGGCAAAGAAAATGCATACCTAGCTGACAACGAGTTAAAATTTCAAGTGAGGGAAAAAATGAGAGGGGCTGGAAGCAGAGAATAATCTAGGTAAAATGTTACTCTTGATCTTTTTGGGGAATATTACACACACACTGCCGCGCCCTTCCTGTCATGGTGGAACATATCTGAGAGCCGTTGAAGAGTAACTCTTAGTTTTTAAAATCTCTATTATTCACAGAAAGAAAACAGGTACTGGCAAAATGCTGCCTTGTCAAATACATTGAATTCACACAGAATTGGGTATTTTATACCCTAAACTGAGACAAGGATACAACTCAGAAATCACATATAAAGTTTTGAAAGTTTCAGTGTTTTAAATTGTTCAAACAAGGGTCATTTAATAAAAATCTAATCCTGGTAAGTAACAGTCAGTGCTGTGCTTTACAGCTCCTGCCACCATGTGTAGGTTGAAGACACACATGCTGCATGGTTATTTCTTTTAACAAAGTGCTAAGTCATAACAGAATTACACTCTTCACACAATAGTTAGTGTCACTATCAAACATTTAGTCACCCTTGCTACAATCATCTTTTGTAGCTTTGTAGATGAAATTGTATTCATAGAAACAAGGGCAAGTTGGGATACAGACACAGCACCTAAGTTCTGAAGTCTCTGGAAAGCATTTATCACGGTGTCAAAGAGGCCGGAGGCTTCTGGCCTGATTATAAATAAGGACTCATATAAGAAATGGCTTTATTAGAAAAACATGTAGTGTACACGTGGCTAATTTCTATCATCAATATATCACTTGGCTATTTTGTAATTAAAATCTGATATAATATAGGGTTTAAACTTCCTTAGAAGTTAGTGGCATTTCTTCCTATTGTCGTGTGACTTCCGGAGGAGTTATCTTCATGTGACAGATGCCCTTCCTTTTCCTAGTTACTGCGGCTCAGTAGTTTAGCACTGGCACAGAACACAAAGAGGATCACCTATGGTAGTTAGTGCTTCGTGTGCAAGACATCAGACTTCCGGCCCCTGGAATCAGGCACAGGTCGGCCACTTGTAGAGTTTTTAAATTCCCTATTACCACACAAGTAAGTCCTGCATTATTACTGGTAGCAATTAAATTAATGTGATAACCTGTAACCTAACAAAACCTCTGGATGAAGTTTCTTTCTTCTCCTTTTTTTATTCCTGTTAGATGTGCAACTCCGAGCAAATGTGCAGTGTGTGGTATTGATTTCCAGTCTCCTTTGAAATTCCTTCAAGTCTGTGTGGTTACACTGAGACTACCACATCAAGATAGAGTCTGTCGTAGGATTCCCTGAAGCACAAAATGAGGAGGAGACTAAGCAAACACGACCCAGGAAGGCACCAGTTGAACCAAGACAATTCTGTAAGACAAAAATATGGTATGCAGTTTTAGGCATTCGTGTAGCGTCAGCAGAACACCTGTGTGCCCAGGGAAATCTGTTTTTCAGTCAAAAGGATTCACAATGAATGAGCCCCAGAAGGTCAGGAAACTGGCTTCCAAAGAACAGTGGCAATAGGGACACTGAATGATAGGTGCAATGTATTATATGGCTTTCCTGTGGAATATTTTAAATCAATTCTGGTAATTACAGTTCATCAATTTCATCCACTTTGACTTTGGTTGCAAAATCAATCTATTACTTCAAAGAAAAACCTGATCGCCTTTAAGTGTTAGTTTGTTAATTGTTTTGTAAGTTTTCTCTATCACCATCAGTCTTACCTTGTGGAGAAATGCCTGATGGGTTAAGGGGACAAAGAGGAAAATACACCTGAATTTCAAGATAAGAACTTTACGTTTTTGGAGATAGAAATCTGTATTTCTCAGTAAAAATCTTCAGTAGTAATCACTTAAAACAGAGAAAGTATATGGAAAAATAAAACATTAAAAAAATCCACCTCTAAACAGACTACTGTATTTTGAGTTCTTTCTTTCTAGTCTATTTTTCTGCTAGCATGAATGGTTATATATGGTACCAGTTACTAAAAAACCTGTAGCAGTCATCCGGACAGGCAATTCTGCTGTTACCTGCTCTAGTGGTATCAAGAACCTGCTACTTCAAAAATATTCTCTCAGGAGCTCTCTAGCACAGCAGTGCCAGCTCCTTGCTGACATCATACTACTGGCTGGGGAACCTTGAGCTGAGGAGCCCCATCTGGTCAGCCTGGCCCTCCCCACGTCCTTCTGCTTGTCAGTCCTAAATCTTTGAAGCAAGCACTATAGCTCCTTGAGGTTGGCGGTGGCTGGGGAAACTTCTTTAGCTTAACATCCAGTTTATCAGTTCCCATGAGAACAAACAGGGAAACAAGTTTCTTTCTTTTTTTCCGGTCATTTCTATAGGTTTATTTTTTCCCCGCTGTCCCTCAACAGAATGCTAATATTCTCTTAATCTTCAAAAATCAACCTAAAGATTTCTACACTGCAGCCTTAGTTTAATCCATAATTCATGTAGCTTAAAAGAGCAATTTATGTTCAGGAATAGAAATTAGAAATTGAATGGCAAAGCCTTTTTTCCTACAGTATGTTCACACAACAGCTTCCTTACCTCTCAATTACTAGATTTCAAATGCCAGATATGTTATTCTATCGCATGAAGCAAAGATGTATATCCAAATGGCACTTTTAGACAAAGCTCTTTTCTGTGTTTTACTTGGATTGCATATAAATACTCTGAAAAGCTGTGACCTCTAGGGCCTTGTCCTTACTCTTGATATTCTTTGAGATGACACATTGGGCATTTTCTGCTCTTACACTGACCATATCACCTGGATTTCTGATGATGATTTTACGAGGGAATATGAAGCAGTAAAAAAAAAAAAAAAAGGGGGAAAAAATAAAAAAAAAAGAGTTTGGGAAAAAAAAAAAAAAAAAAAAAAAAAAAAGAGGTGGTAAAATATAAACAAAAGAGGGCTGGGGATTTAGCTCAGTGGCACCGAGCCTACCTCGAAAGTGCAAGGTCCTGAGTTTGATATCCCTGGTACAAAAAAAAAAAAAAGATAAAAGCATGCTGTTTGTATTAAAAGAGACCACTCTGACATTACGACTGTATTTTAAGCAACAGATAAAAGAAAAGATGATATTTGACAACATGGTTTACAACAGCAACATTTTAAAAATCTTAGTCCTGTAACTTGTGGAGCTAGAGCAACATACATGTAGCAATCATCAACTTGTCCTTGTCCTCTTTAAACTGAGGAACTTGTCAATACTGCCAAAGGAGACTGTTTATTTCATCAGAGTTGTAAGAGTTTTCCATCTACTGAGGTTCAGATAAAGTCTCTAAAAATGCTGCATAATTACTGTTCAGTCACAGTCTGCTGATTGGTTTTTACTGGGTTCCTCTCTGAAAATCAAATCTACCTTTCAGCGAAGCCACTTGGCTCAATCAGCTGCAAGGATTCTTTAAATTATTTGCCTTTACGGAAAGCATTAGGCCAGTGTCATGGGAACAGCTTTTTCCTTCTGAAAACTGCAAGTGCTCTAATAAGCAGGAAATGCTTGCTTAAACATTTAATTTGTGAAGCTGTTGTATTCTCTGAACTCAATGTGGTATGACATGAGTGAACTAGCAAGATCCTGATCCACTGAAATGTTCATATTCTTACCCCATTACACTTTTCTAGCATCCCTTCCCTTGCCACTCACTGGGGAAATCTGTACTCAAGGCAGGACTGTACAGTGTGCACCATGCTTCTGCTGGTTCTCTGTCATCAGCTACTCTTTGGTTGAGTCCTCTTTGCCAATGTGCAGTTAGCCAGGTGTTATATTTTATTCAGAGCAATGAGTGATGCTATGTTGGGCCTTTGTTCATTCTTTTAAAAAGCTTTACATTCCAGAAGCACTGACTGCTATTGGGTCACCTTGTCTTTGCCTTCAATGACACTAATGCTTTTGGTTTTGACTACCTAAAGGACTTATGTATTTCCAGCTACCACCCTTGAGGACCAACCTTCTACTTTCTCTTACAGTGACCTAACAAAATTGTCTCCATTCTCACTCAAGGTGAGCAGAGAGCAGAAGCCACGACTCCCCAGTCCGGTGTCCTGTAAGTGGTGTTAACCACCACACTGCATTATTTTACTTCTTAGACATAAAGTTACTTCTCTCTAGTCTGCATCTGTTGAACCTGCCCTTTGTTCTGGGAAGCATTAGTCAGTGCCTCCCACTTCAGCCAGGCCCCTCAATCTTTTAGTGACAGTGCGCCTCAAATTCATGGCTAGCCACTTCAAAATCTTTATGCTTTTAGACAAAACCTGCTGCAAAGCTTACTAACAAAAAATAACAGATAATACAAAATTCTAAGTGGGAAACAAAATACATGTTGGAGCACATAGAGCACAGAACAGCATTCCCAAACTGATTTTGTACATGGTTAACAGACTAACGCATCACCTTGTTGTCTCACTCAGATTCTCCAGACAACATGGTATGAAGCGACTACTTTTACAAATATGCTGTTAGGGAGCAAGGAGCATTACTTTGAAAGTGACCTTGAAAAATCTGCATCAGAAAAACTTTAAGAAACTTCTGATATGGCTCCAGGTACTCAAAGTAGAAATGAAACGGGATGTGGCCCAGGGCTCCACATGAGCCGATGGCATTGGTACCAAAGACTGAATAACACTCGTCCCCAGTGGTGGCCCTAATCTTCAAACAAATCACTTGTTGGGCAAAACATTCTGACATGGTCACTTTGGGGGCAGCTGGAAAGCCCTGGAGAATGATCTGATGGAGTTGCCTACCAGATAGCATACTGTGGGCAGGGAAAACCCTAGTCATGAAGCTTAGCACTTCCTTCAGAAGTGACCTAAAAGCCACATGTGATGGTAGTTAGAAATCAGAACTTCTTTCCTAGTGTGGTGGCACACTCCTATGGTTCCAGCTACTTGGGAGGCTGGTGCAGGGCGGTCGCTTGAACTCAGCAGTTCCAGACCAACCTGGGCAACACTGTAGGACTTTTATCTCTTAAAAACAACAGCAATGAGCTGGGCATGGTAGTGCATGCCTGAAATGCCAGAACTAGGGAGGATGAGGTAGGAGGATTGCCTTGAGTTCGAGGCCAGCCTGTGCTACATAGTGAGTTCAAGCCCAGCCTGAGCTGAGACCATATCTCAACAAACAAACACAATAGCAAAGAAACCTAGGCATTCTTCACCCCCCCGCAAAAAAAACAAAACAAGCTTTCTAATCATCTAATAGTTGAATTTTGAGCTGTAACAGTGAGTTTTTAAAGTTTAAAGTTAACCAAATTATGACAGTTGAACACTGGCTTTAATGGAAGGGAATTCAATTTGTTACATAAAGTGTTTAGTATCTTAGGCTGCAAAACTAGAAGTTGATTTTAGGAAACAATTTTACAGAATTTTTATATTTTCAATTTATGTATTATCATACCACAGTGCATAAAGAACTGAGTATCTGCTGCAGGATGTTTAAGGCATTGATCATATGTGAAAAGAATTTCAAAATAGATTTTATAATTCTGGAAACCTTAGTTTGAGAGATGTAGGGTATGTTTGTGTGCATTAATATACACACAAATACATGAAAACACTTCTTTGAAATCTAAACTAGATCTTTAAATTTCAGACATCAATCAGTGACTGTACTTATCTAGAAGAAAACCAAACAAACAAAGCTTGGTGAGAGCCAGCTGTGCCTTCAACATCGATGCTCTTTTATCTTCTCATCAGCTATCTAAAATGCCAAATATGCTGAGACTTTGCTTCCTGAAAATCACCTCGGTGGACTGTAATTATTTCAAGTGCTATATGGTCACAATTGTCACAGCGTTTGGGCAGAAACCTTTTAATATCTATACAGGTATGTATAAAAGCATGTGATCGGAAACCAAACAAAATGAGGGGAGCTTTCTTCTCCTACTCAGACCCATTCATGGCTGTTATCAGGAAGGTAACAATTACCAGAAATGGCACAAAGTTTTTGCTGCTGCCTATGCCAAATGAACAAAAGTAACTGCATGAAGTATTTGGTCCCTGTGAATCTGTAAGATGAGGACTGAGCACTGACATCAGGTGTGGGTAAATCGTGCCAACATCCAATCTGTTGACCAAATCCAAAGTTGCAGCAGTCCTAGGAGACTGACGTACTCTGCTGGCCCAGCAAAGGATCAGGGTGCACCAAGCTCTTCTGTCGAAAGGCAACACTATGGTTTGAATACCAGGGCAGTGAGTTCCCCAAAGGTTCATGTGTTGGAAGCTTGACAATGTGAAGAGGGGGTGGACCCTTTAAGAGGTGGGGCCTCAGGGGAGCTCACTCCAGGTCTTTCTCTGTCTGGTTTGCTCCGTTGCCACGTGATCTCTCCTTCTCACATGTGCTCCCTGCCATTGCGATGTCTTGTGACACATAGGGTCCTCACTAAGGTTCAGTTGCTAAAGGCACCATGTGGATGGAAACCTTTTACTATCTAGAACTGAGCCAAAGGAACCTCTTTTCTTTATAAACCTCAGCTCCAGGTATTTTGTCACAGTAATAGAAAATCAATACAAATAGTTTAGGGTGATTGCCCATGTATTCCCTGCCTTAAACCGGTCAATAAACATGCTTTTTCTATACTAGAAACCACAGCAAGATATTTGTTGGGGGATGACATTATGTGGCATCTCCTGGTGTTTTTAAATACTGAGGACAAAACTCCTTGTAGCTGGCAAGGAAAACCATGTTCTGCTAGGCTGCAAAGACCACTTAACAAATCTGTGCCCCTCAGCTGGAAAATTGTTTCTATCATGCTAGGGGGCATCACAGCATCTCTGAAGCTTTAACAGGGAGAGGCAATAAGACTCTTAATTTCCATTTTGACACAGCTAAAGTGGGTTAGAGCTGATCTGTAATAATTGTTGTAAAAGTCTGTTCAGAGAACACACTGAAAGCAAATGCTTTACTCCAACACCTGGTGATGGCACTTTTCCTTATGCGCTTCCAGAAGGACCACGAGAGTGGTCTCTGACTGCCTGAGTGTGATGCTCCTTCAAGGAGAGGCCAGGCTCACAAAAAGGCAGACACAGCCAAGACCTGCTTTACCTGCATTACTTACTGACAGAGACAATCGAGTTTGTTGCTAATTATATTAAGAAATTAATCTATTCTCTGGACCACACTTTGTGTAGCTAAAAGGAAGTCCTATGCCTTAAGTTGTTCCAAACCCAGGGATGATTTTGTTTCGTTGCTTGGAAGGTTTTGAAAATTTATTTTCCAGCCAAGGAGGTTCACACAGTTATTATTTCAATTATAAGCCTGTCAGAAATTTCCATATAAACAGTGGCTTCTCAGAGTGTTAGATATTTCCTACATCGTGTAACCTTCTCTTATTCATCCCTATGGCTTTAAACTACATATACACCTCTGGCATTACTGACTTATACTCTGTGCTAAGATAGAAGACGTGAAATATTTTAAAAAATTTATATGAATATTAGAATCACCTGGCTAAGGAATAGGTTTGACAGGGACTTTAAAAAGTGCGAATACTGAGTCCCAGCCCAGGTTAATTCGAAACCTTTGGAAGTGAGGGTACACATGGGCTAGAATGCATTTCAAAAAAAAAAGTTGTGAATATTGTTTTTATTGACGTGTGAACACTCACATACAGTAATTTGCTTTAGTGAGAATTCTCCATATACATTCCCTATACATCAATACCACACACTTCTCTTACAACACATTTAGATAGTAAAAAAGAAATCAAATTTCTTACCTGTATGATAAAATGTGAGAAAAAATAAAAGCACTCCCATGAACATATTACTTAAAAAAGTGACAACTCCACAAGTAATTCCTTCTGGAACCGGGTAGACAGTTTCCACAAAAAGCTCAAAAAATATAGGTACACTGCTATTCAAGAACACTCCCAGGAGAATACAGGAGGCATATAATGTCACTGAGAGAAAAACACAAACATTTTAGTTGCATGGCAGCAGCAATGAGTCACATCAGACAGCTCTTCTGGGTGTTCTCTTTCATAAGTACCAGCTCCAAATTTCATCTCTTTTCAGGGGCAGTTGATAAAGTTTGACAATATCATCCATCCATCAGCTCTTTGTGCCAATTTTCTGGAGTAAGTATGAAAAGGTTTTGCTGTTGAACGATTACAAGTTCATTTTGTGCTACCTTTCTGGTGGGTTATTCCAAAGCACAAAAACAAGTCACCAATACAATATAATTAAAAGGACTTTTCTCACTTGATCATGTGCTTGGCAAATGAGCGAGGATAAAATGCAGTAACTTACTTCAAAATTTAGATTCATTTTATGTTTTTAAAGAGAAGACTAAACAAAAGAAATATTAAATGTTACTGAAAATTATATATTTAAAGAAACTGGTTCATTAATACCTTGGAAGTATAAAATAAACATTATCCATTATGCAGTTCCTAGAGAAATACAATAGGATTAGTCCTCAATTTTGGAATGAGTTTTGTGCCACCGGTTTCTTTTTAAATAAGGAAAATTTTCACCCAGAAAAATATAAATGAATAGTGGTATAATCCTAGATTAGTCCCTAAAAAGCCTAGGGATATTATTTTTATTCTTATAAGAATGTTTAGGGAAATGCACTCCACTCTAAGTTTATCGTCGCTACTATCTGCCTACAAACCTTCACTAATTTTAATTTGAAAATGAAAAGAGAACCAAAGAGGAGGGGGAGTGGTATTCTATTCAGAAACATAAAGCGCGTACCTCTGTCCTAATAAATATATTCTTCCCACTCCTAATAATGAGTAGACTTCACTCTAAGTTTAAGATTACAAGGAAAATATTTTTTCTTTTGGTGTTGGGGATCAAACCCAGGGCCTTGTACGTAGGCAGGGCACACCTGCAGCCCTTGGAGAATGTTTTTAATAAAAACATTTACTAAGAAAACACTTCTCTTTTGGAATTGCAAAGAATAAGGCAGTTATATTAACTCTGTTATGTATTATTCATAGATTCACAGAACATATCAAATCTCTGGAATTTACCATAGATGACTATAGTCACTGTATTATTATTTATGACACTGTCAAAGGATTACAAAAAATAAGCACCCACTGATTTCTAACAGCATTTCTCTAACCTCATTGCTGGGTCCTCTCCAATTACACTGGCCTTCCAGAATTATAAAATATTTAGTATATTCTAATAATGCAAATAGTTGGTAATTACTTTGACTTTTTATTTCTTTGAATAAAAGATAGGTATCAAAGCATAGAACAAAAGAATAAAGAAGAGACTACTGGTTAACAATGTCCAAATTACTCACAGAATCACATGAAAGTATCAGATAACTACAATAAAAAGCATTCAAAACAACATAATTTCTTGAGGTTGCTTTTTTTTTTTTCCTTAGGGCACTAGGGATTGAATCTAGGGCCTTTACACTGAATACTTCCTAGTGTCCCCCCACTTTTATTTTTTGAGACAGGGTCTCACTAAGTCACTAAAGTTGCCCAGGCTGGGCTACAACAGTGGTGGTGAACCTATGGCATACGTGCCACAGGGGGTTGTTTGTATCATTGAAACAAAGCACAGAGCTGGGCATGGTGGTGCACGCCTGTAAATCCCAACACTCAGGAGGCTGAGGTAGGAGGATCACCATGAGTTTGAGGCCAGACTGGACTATACAGTGAGTTCAAGGCTAGCCTTAACTACAAAGTGAGACCCTGTGTCAAACAACCAAAAAAAAAAAAAGAAAAGCAACAAAAGTAATTTAAAAAATTAAAAACAAAGCACAACCCAATACTTCACACTAATATTTGCTAGTAATTGATCATGTAAGTCAATATATTCTTGTCAGGTGGCTCCTTAGCTGTACCTTATGAAATCTAGGGTTGGACAATTGCTGATAGCTTATATTGAGAGTTCTATCTCCAAAACACAATACAATAACAATAATTGTATTGAGTGTTCTATTTCCAAAACACGATACAAATTACAATAATTTATTGATTAGCCAGTGGTAATCAGGGCAGACAGGACGATTGACCTAAACACAAATGAGCCCAGCAATTTAAAACAAGAAAAGTATCAGGAAAAAAATAATAACAAAACTGAGCTCTTAAACCAGCTAGCACTACTTCTGAGTAGACTCCCAAACTACTGATGGAATTAGCTCTTTTTAGAAAATACGGTTAGCAGGAATCCTTTCTGTGTTCTTCTTTCTGAAGGAACTATACCTCTACATGTAATTGTAATCAAAACTAAGATGTAATAACTGAAAAAAATCTGTATACAATTGAATAATCTGTACAGAACTGTGATAAAAGAATGAAAATATAATGACAAGGACATGCTAAAAGAGGCTATTCATAGGGTCTCGAGAGATTCAACTGTATTGAGTATTGATTTTAATTATGGCTGGTTAAAAAAGCAGATGTACAAGCTTAAATATCGCATACTTACTCCTGTTTGAGTGAGGCAAAGTACAAACAAAGCACAGTAAAGGATGGACAGAAGGAGACAAGGGGACGGATCTCTTGCATATGGGAAGGGGTCTAGGAGACTGAGGGCAAGGGGAGAGGGAGAGGGGAAGGGGAAATAAATAGAATAAAGATAAGCCATGTACAGGAACAACCTCAATGAATGTAAATGTTACATGTTATAAACATGAGGTAAGATTAATATCAACAACAATGAAAATGGAAAAGGGGGATTTAGAAGAGGAAGGAGGAAGGTGGGAGGGAAAGGGATTAAAAAAATCAGTCTCTATTATACACTTGTACCCACTCCCCAAGATGACTGTAAACTGCATGTGCTGAAAACTGATTTAAAAAAAAAAGAAGCCTGGGCTGGTGAGCACCTGGTGAGCCAGATTGGTCTGAAAACTCCTTGTGCTGTGCAGCTACCTTAGCTCTCATTTCATGCTCATTGGGCCAGGGATTTAGCTCAGTGGTTCCGGCGCCTGCCTCGCAAGCACAAGGGCCTGAGTTTGATGCTTGGTACCGAAAAAAAAAAAAAAAAAATTTCCCAGGTGGGATTTAGCTCAGTGGTTCCGGCGCCTGCCTCGCAAGCACAAGGGCCTGAGTTTGATGCTTGGTACCGAAAAAAAAAAAAAAAAGAATCTTCCAGGTTTGTTCCTTGGTATCTAAGATCTTGGGACTTGGAGGGCCATAAATCATGGGCATTGGAAAGATAAAATTTCTATTGTAGCTAAAATTGTTATAGGAAATGTAAATAGTTTATCTTCTGGTGGAAAATTTGGAAATGTCTATCAATACAGATGTGCATTATGTGACTCTGCAATTCTATTTGTAGGAATTTATCCTACAGCTATGTGAGTACAGGTATCTGGGGAACATGTTGTCAAATGCTGTTTGTAGTGTGAAAAGTTTAAAAACAACCTCAATGCCCACCAGCAGGAGTTAACTGTTAAAAAAAAGTCATAAAACATTCAGAGGCATGTTATGCAACCAGTAAAAATGAGAAAACTACACCATCAGTAATGTAAAGTGAAAAAGGTGCTAAAAAATATGGTATATTTTCCAAGAAGGATACATATGCTTTATAGTACTTGTAAATGTGCAGAATTATGTAGGACAGTACAGAAGAAATTGGCAATCAGGGTTGATTCTAGAGGGAAGTTTAGGGCCACAGGAGAATAGAGCCTTGTTACTCTGTATTTTTTTAGCTATCTGAATGTGACTTTTTAACGGTGTGTCTATCTTACCTATTTAACAAAATAGTAAGAGATATTTCAAAGTAAACCAATGCCCTGACAGCTGACCCAACTCTGCTTCGTGGAAATGTGTTTCACTTACTGACTCAGAGACTTCTCACCAGAGAGGTGACCACAGAGCTACTATCTGTACCCGGTAGCCTTGAAACCCAGGCTTGTTGCAGAAGTTTGCTTGTTCTATCACTATAAAAGTGATGATTGAGAAGGTTTTTAGAAACACTTGATGGATACACTGGCATCACTTGTTACTGCAGAAACCACAAAATCAAAATCATTTACACAGATAAGAGTTAAATGAAGATCTTCCTATCAGAATGGGAAGAAGACAGCTGTGTCAGGACTGATTTAATACATTCCCCAGTGTGCCGAGCCATGAATAGAGTAGAAGCTGATTGTTACAAGTTTGAAGTTGACTTCCATCTGAATTTTTAGAGTCTGATATATCCAGTAGGTGAATGTCATCTATTCAAGTCAGGCAGACAAGATAATTTCCTGCTCGTCAGAGAGGTTCAAGTTACATGATCATTAAATATTTCCATGACTTTCAGTAACACTCATACTAAAATTAAAATAAACTGCCTTTCAATTAAGGAGTCAAGGTAATTTAGCAGAAAAATACAATAGAAATGCTGATGCACTTTTTTTTTTCAAAGAAGCCAATAAAATTGCATTGGTTCACAATTTAAATTGCAAAAAACAAAGTCCTTTGTAGCACAAAATAGTTACAATGGATGTACTTCAAGTACATGAATTGGCTTATAACCTCTGAAAGTACCCGATTCTATTACAAATCAAATTATTAAACTTTAGGGAAAGAAACTAAATGAATACTTTTTGGTTAACTAAAACATCTTAGTTGATTAGCAGCTATAAAACAAGTGACAAAATTTCAGATAATACTAACTGTTCCACTCAACATCTAATGAATTATCCAAGATATCAACAAAAACAAAGTGATAATCTTGGGATTTATACAAGTTTAAAAAACATTTTCAAAACAGCTTTCACATGTATTATCATATTTGACGATCCTATCAATTCTGAGGCAAGTAAATTATTTTACAGTTAATGTCACCGAAAATGAAAACAAATTATTTAGATATAATGTAAATTAGTGGTACTAATAATTATGCAATTAAGGCCTGCAGACTCTTTCCTACTAAGCCACACTGCCAGACTGAAAAACAAACAACCAATGCTTGGTATCCTTTTATTCAACAGTATCGA